TATACTTTTTTTTTTTTGTCGAATGTGCATTACCTTATTCTGGAGATGGGCCTGGCAGAATGCTGTAAATCCACTTCTAGTTTCAAGAGATAAAATTATGTCGCCCTCCTTGCACAAATACTGGGGCTTATGAAAAAATTTGTTAAGATAGAAAATAAATAGGCAATGCTTTTCTTATATAATGCGAAAATTTCCTAGTCTAAGCACAGACAAGATAAAAGCGAGGATTTTCTAAGACATTAATACAGGATTCTAATATCTTACGTTGGAGTGTACTGCGTGGACTTCATTCCTTAAATATAGTAAAAATGTTCCGGGAAACGATAATTAAAAACCTAAGTATGTAATGTGTGCAGCAGAGTGGACTACCTAAACAGTCATCTTGACAAATTGTCAGAGAATTTTAGGTTCTATAAATTCTAGAAAACTACACATAGAAAATAAAATTTTGTTTCTAGTCCTCTGCAACAACAACAAAATTAGAAAATAAAAGCTCTTACCACTGTAAGTAGCTGATGTCACGCATCTTTGTCTAATTCTTGCTACTTACTGTAGTAATTCTTTCTTCTTATTTCAGTTAGGATTAGAGACATGAACCACTAACCGTAGTAAGAGATTTTATTTTTTGAATTTTGAGTTGTGTCGTTATTATATAGAAACGTCGATATGTAATCACTGAATTTTCCTTTCATAAATTTGTTTACCAATTTCAATTAAATAATTTAAAGTGAATAAAATCAAGAAGAAAGGCGAATGCTCAGCGAAGAACAAATCGAAAAAGTTGCCTAAAATGGTTATAAGGCCCACAAATGGCATGATAAAAAATAACCACAACCACAAGCACACATTTTTTGAATTAAGCGTAATGGCAGGGAAAATCTGTACCGGCGAATGTCTTGCTAGAAGGACTAATGGAGCCATTATTAACATCTTTTCAGACGGCTAGGCAACATAGAGAGCCTTAAATGGTAGACAGGTGGCTCTGCTATTTTTCTTGTAAGGGTCATTCCATCTCAAATCGCCCAGGCCGAGGGAAAGTGAATTCAAGTTTGCGCTAAATCTCATATTTACAATTTACCGTTATTCAGCTTAAAGCAAAAACTGGTTCCTTTTAATCACGTATGTATATCTTACGAACCAATTTAAAAATCTTAATATAAAATACGGAAGATGAAAGCCAATGAAATTCTCCATAAACCATATATACATCACTTATCCATAGAACTGATAGTTTCGGACATATTAATTAATCATTCCCGTTTTTTTTTTGTATTTTTCAATGAAAAAATGAAAAAAGTAAAACTTTAACGGAACACAAATTTAAGAAATAACAGGTTCTGTACTAAATTTTTGCATTTGTGCTAAAGCCTGTTCTTCTAAAAAAAAAACGCATGTTACTGATGAAGAAAATCGATGGATAAATAAGAAATAATGTGTAGTGAAATGAAACTGCGCAAAGATTTTTTGTATGATATATGGGCAGAAAAGCGTGTTACTCAGGTATACGTGGCGTATGAGTAACTTTCTTTCCTGCTCATTTGTCATAAAAAAATGTTTGCCTATTTTCATTTAACCACTCATTATTTCTTATTTATCCATCGATTTTGTCTCATCGATTGTGCATTAGTAAAAGCAAATAAAGGCTGTTTATGCAAATAATCGAGCCCGTTTGTCAACCGTATTAGAAACAAACAAAATTTGCGCGTATTTTGTTGTTGCTTCTGGTATCGAAAGTGTCAACACTAATTTTTTTCTTTTAAATCAAAGCGTGCCATTTGAAATACAACAAAAAATAAAAAATAAAAAATTTTATTTAAGAAAAATTAAAATGATTGCAACTTTCTTTCTTAGTAAATTTGTTTAGTTCTCGAAGAATTGATCCATCCTTTGCAAGGCCCAGTAATCAGCGGTTGTGCTGCTGAGTTGGGCGAATGTTCCAAAAGGTGCTACTCAATCCCTTATTTTGTATGGAGAACGGTTTCACATGCAAGAATGCATGAGTAGAAATTTGAAATATCTGATATTTTCCAGACCAAATAATTTAAAAAAATCAAATCAGCTGCTCTACTGATACTACCTGTTCAATGTGCCTTGAACAAAGCAAAAAATTACTCCAGCTGTCTAAATGCACAATTTTGCCATCCTCAGGGCCGATTGTTCAATGTCTGATGAGTACAAATCGATCACATGTTATATGCATGATGTCAGTAACGTCGATAATGGTGTTTAACCGGGAAGTAGTGATAACCAGACATTGAACAACCGGCCTTTAATGATGCAATTTTAATTTGCATTTGTTCTACTACATTCAAATTAACTCTGGTCGTCGTACACCATTTTGGAATCATGTGAAACAGTGACAAGGGTGGTAGACAGCAGAAAAAGTAGAATGGACAAATTATAAATCTTTAAAACATTCACTTTGTGATGGACACCAGGTTATGAGGGCTTTGATGGCAATGAAACGGCTGATAATCTCGCCTCAGCGTTTTTGTGAACCATCCAAGGGATACACGGCAGAGCTTGTAAGAAGGTGGAAGGATTCCCAAAAAACATTTTTGTTAAATCTCAATTTGAGATGCACTTGAGAATCAGTCCTTTTCTCAAATCGTTAATTCTCAAATGCATCTCAAATAACCATTGATAACGTTCTCAAACTAAAAGGCACATATTTAATACGAAATTTTCCTTTATTTTCAAATTGAGAAATGTTAAGTTCTCAACTTTTTCTGAAATGTGACTGTAACGGAACGAAATGAAACCCAGTTACACTTATTGAATTATTTGTATAGTATTGTCATTGACACATGTAAGAGAAACACAGTTTTTATAGGAAAGGAATTTTTATTTATGCAGTTTAACAGTTTATTCAATAGCTTTATTATTCAGTTAGTTTAACAAATAAAAATACGGTTAATATAAAAAATTAGTTGCATGGTTTATTTCAAAATTAAACAAATTGCTAATAACAGCGACCGCGTGGTCGAAGAGCCATTTTGCGACTGATGTAGCAGACTACTGATGGACTTCGATATCTGTGCCATGTTGACACAGATGGAACGGAACGGAGTGCTAAAAAAATTTTTCTCAAATATTTCTCAAACTGTTCTTAAATTGATAAACAATGTTTTTTTTTATTTAAACAATCCTTTGATAGGCGTCTTATTTTAACCAGATATCACAGATAACAAATATGGGTACTCGGAAGTATATGTAGATGTTTGCTATTCGATACACCGAATAAAACCAATGCACCATATTTGTTGGCACTACTGTCGTTATTATTGGTGCTTCACAATTGAAGCAGAGTTACTGGTTCCATCTCGATAAAACGTAAGGTTCCCCGGTGGATCGGGGAACTGGATGCAAAGCACAAAACTGCTAGGCGGCTTTTCAAAAGGCCAAAAGGATCTTTACGAACGATAACCGGGAGACCTAAATCACCTGCTTCAAGTGCATTTCCCAGGCTTTGCGGTGATCTGATGGCCTCTGTCTGCTCGGAACACAGAATGAGAATTATAGCAGGTCTGGTTCGATCTTTGACAGGGACAAAGTACGGTGGGTGATAGAGTCTTTCCAACCCTTCACATCGGTTCGTGATGTCCGTGTTATTTATTCTTAAATCGAGCAACAGGATCCATGACTTATTTAGCTAAATCATACAAATCTCTTGGCCTATCTTCCTTCACTCAAAACTTCATAAAACTTTAGAGAGACTGTTAGACCTCTCTATTAGGGAGAAACTGAACACTTCCACTTCTTTGCATCACACATAATTTGCTTAAGTCAAAAGGAATCAACGGATTCGCGTGAAATTACATCGTCCTTGGGCAATACTCAAGTAAGACCAGAGCCGTGAAAGACTGGCCGCAGGGAAGTGTCCGTTCACCCTTGCTTTGGTCAATTTTTGTGGACGACCTCTTAATCAGACTACATGAGTGTGGTTACGATGTTGTGGGGTACGCAGATGACCTGGCAATTACAGGTTCGGAAAACTTCGGCAGTACTATCTCAAAAGTTGCAGGTGCCAGTAAGGGCCTCAGTATAAATCCTCGAAAGGCTTTTCTTGTACAGTTTACAACAAAGCATAAACCAATGCTTGGTTCGTTCACCCTTGGAGGCACAGTGCTTGAATATTCCGATGAGGTCAAATATCTTTTCAGATAGACAAGTAGCCATCCGGGCCCTTTCAAACAGGATTATGAAATGGGTCTTAGACAGGCCAGACTCCCCGGCTACTCTTTCAATAGAAATGATATTATTTTAGGAAATAGAAATCACAACAGGCTACTTTCTCATTACCTGACTGATCACAACCAATTGCGAACCCACTTACAACGAATATGTGAAGATGATGAAACTGCAGAGCACATTGTCTGTCTCTTCCCGGCTTTGGTCAGACAAATATTGATCCATTTTACAGCTTCAATGGTCAAACCCTTTGTTATAAAGAGTTCGCCTACCAAATGCCCTGCAGATGGGATTCATTAGGGAAGCCGAAGATATCTTGGCCACACTGTGTTAGGGACTCCCTTCGTTTAACTAACCAACAATTTGAGATATAATATTACTAATATTGACAATGTATACTGGCACATTGTTTATAAAAAAATTGTCTAAGAGTAGCTTTGAGGGGTTACAAAACATTAGGTCCCCGCTTTCGTTGGGATTCTACGGTAACTCAAACCCAAATAAATTATTCTGATATACTTCTGACATCTCTTAAGATTCTTTATTGTTGTTAATTTTTATCAACCGACTTCACAAAAAGGAGGAAGGTTATCAGTTCGTCCGAATATTTTTTTTTGTATGAATGTTGCCGCAAAACTTTGGACCACGTTAGCCGATTTCTAATTTTTTTTTTTTAAGGTAAGGTGTTACCGCAGAGGTGGTCCCATTCTAATTTGGTTTAAATCCGATTAACGATAATCTTAAATTTTTATGTGAGAATTAAATTCGGTTTTGTTTTTTGCTTAAAAATTATTTGTTTTCGCTTGCAGATGGTGCAAGAATTGAGCCACGTCGTAACGTGGTCAAGTGGAACACTCGAAATAACAACCGCGACAACTCCTTCGCCAGCGGCAATAATGGCAGCACATCTAACAAATGCGTAACTGCTCCATCAACGACTGCCGGTCGCTCGCCCGCTGAAGATGGTAAAGTTATATTCTATGCGCCACCTGCTGGTGGCTTCAATGCCAGTCAACCTTCCAGCCATACGCCAGCGTTCATGATCAAACAGGAGCCCGTGTTGCCGTCATTTTACCGCGAACGCAGCATCGAGGAGACCGAAGCCGCCCACGATTTACTCTCACTATCGCAAAGTCTACCGCCACTAACACCGCCTTGTGTCGTCACCATCCTGCATCCGGAGTCGTCAACAAACAGCAATCTCAATAGCACAGCGCACCATCAAAACCAGCACCAACACCAAACACAACAAACACCCATCATGCATGAGATATCCAGTGCTTCCAAACAGCAGAGAGCCGTACCACCACCACTCTGTGCTGCAACCATTGCCGCGGATAATTTTACCATATTCACCGTGCAAGATGTCTCGACGCCGCACCACACGCGAGCGGCCCTCGATCAGGGACCGCCAAAAATACGTTATATGTGCAGCGGCAGCAGCAACTCATATGACAGTCATACAGGCGCGAACACACCGGACAATTCCGAAAATTGCTCGCCTCTAACACCACCAAATTCGGATCATTCATCTGACATTGACATCGACATGTCCTCCTCGTCGGATTCGGGGCATTCCAGCTCGAATTATCAAGCAACGCTCAAGTTGTGGATCGATGAGCCATCATCGTACAAAGTGCGGCGTACATCCACAAACTCAATGACAATTGAAGATTCTACGGAGGCTAAAGCAAATCATTCCATCAAACTCGGTCTTAATATATTAGATGGCCGCACCAAGGCTAGCCGCAGCAGCAAGGAACCAATCGAAACGCATACGGCTGGAAGTTTCGACTCCAGCTCCACGGACATCGATTCGTATGTGAAGAAGAAGCGGGGCAGCTACAAGTGCTCCGAATGCGGCAAACAGTACGCCACCTCAAGCAACCTCTCACGTCATAAACAGACGCACCGCTCGCTCGACTCGCAATCAGCGAAGAAATGCAATACTTGCGGCAAGGCTTACGTTTCCATGCCGGCTCTCGCCATGCATCTGCTGACTCACAAACTCTCGCACAGCTGCGACATTTGCGGCAAACTCTTCTCACGACCCTGGCTGTTGCAGGGCCATCTACGCTCACACACCGGCGAGAAACCATACGCTTGCTCACATTGCGGCAAGGCATTCGCCGATCGCTCCAATTTGCGGGCGCACATGCAAACGCACTCGATCGATAAGAACTTCGAATGCAAGCGTTGCCACAAAACATTCGCTCTGAAATCGTACCTAAACAAGCATCTGGAGTCATCATGCCTCAAGGATGTTTTGGGCACCGGGGACGCGACAGACTTGTACGCGGATAATGGCGATGGCGGCGAAGGTGAAGGTGAAGGCGAATCTACGACAGCGCAAAGCAGTGATGACAACGACGAAGATATTGTCGTAGCATAGGCTCGAATAGATCGAAATACATGCATATGTATGTATGTAAGTCTGTAATTGGGAAGGGTTGGACTTTGAAGAGCACAGTAAGATACGAGTAATTTTAACAATTAAAACGAAAATATATTCCACACTTTTACAACAGAAATTGTAATTAAACTTAAAACACGTAAGAATAGTTTTTCTATAGCAAAAAGTTCGATAGTTGAAGAACATACATACCATGCATACATACATAAATACATACAAAAACTGAAAAAAGCAAAAGCTGTACATTTTGCAAAACGCAATGAAAACAATACAAAACCTACCAACTTTAAGTAAAAATCCCATGCAACGAATATTATGGAACATAAGTAGAAATTCTATATATACAAAATTATTACTATTAAAATTATTATGAACAAGATATTATTAGGATTTATTGATAAGAGATTTGAAACGTAAAATGTGTTTTGTTGGCACTTAAGGCAGACGAACATTTGATATAGTAGTCATAGTGAAAATTTAACAACTACAAAGTTAAAGTTGAAAACCAGTGAGTAGTGCAATACACTAAGAGCGAAAAGTACTTATACATACATACATACATACATATAGTTAATTCACAAGTCAACCGAAAACCCTTATATGTAGGCTCAATTAGCTGAGCGAATAGCAAGGCGCTAATTATTTGAGGTTTTGGGTGATCTTCGGCTAAGATCAGAGCCAATATTCACGCATGTTTTATATACACATACATAGTACATATGTGTGTTAGTGAGTATACGTAGGTACTTACATTTGCATACATAAATACATTATTATACAATTTACATACATATATATATACAATATATAATGTAATAGAAAGCATGAGAAGCAGTTGATATTTTTTTAGAGTATTTCATATACATATATTTTAAAGTAAAGCAAAATATTACCAAAAAGGCATGATACAAAATGATATTAAATAAATTAGACTAAACTATTCTTAAAATAATAAATTGCATAAACATAATAGTAATTTACTTAGAATGGCAATTTTACAAATACTGCAATACATATAGCAAAAGCATAACAACATTTTTGAATACCTAAGCAATTTAAACGGATAAGCTCAGCGTAAAACTAAAGGCAAAGGCAAAGGCAAAGTCAGCTTTAAATCGTTTAAACTTACTTTTATTGTTTATCTTGTAAAATTAGCATATGCAAACCGTTTTAAAATTAATTTATTTTTTTCTTGGTTGATAGAATGTTATGAGGTTAGCTTGGTTAAGATTATAATGGATCTCTCGCAAAGACCACAAAGTACTTTTTTACGATTTTTAGTAATTTGCTTATAGACGCACTGAGCTAACTATGACTTCAGAGATTTTAAAGAATATCATTTAATTAAATTTCAGAAGAAGGAAAATTACGGCAAAAAATTTCGGATATTTCCAGAGACAATTCCTGTTGTTCAATTTAAAAAGTATCATTGAATAATGTCGACTTAAACTTAACTATAATTTTTTGTAAGAAGATATTTATCATAACTGTCCTTGGTTCTTGTAAAATCAGAAGTAGACATTTTCAGCTAGATTTTAACTTTTATTGTTTCGAGCAAGAAATAGAAATCATTTCTAAATTTAAATTAATCGACCCTATTATGACTGTCGATACCGACTTCGATGTCATTTTCCCAAATGTGATAGACATTTTATTTTATTATATTATATAGTGTTTATCACAGTGTGCATTTTTAACACTTCATGCCAATTAATCGTAGCGCTTTCGACAGAAGCAATATTTTGATATGAAACAAAATGGCTTTGAAAGCTAATGTAATTGCCTTTCAAGAAAAAATATTGCCATTGAGCCACAATCACTTCTTAACCTTAAAAAAAATGGGTAAACATGAAATTCCCCCTATTCCCCAATCCGCAATTCCAAAAATAATCTGAAAATAAGGAATTTTTTTATTTTCTTATTAATGCTTAAATAATAAAAAGGAAAATCATCGGTAGGTAGCCCAAAATAATAAAAATTAAAATTTTTAAAGTCATGCGGAATAAATCAGGATTCTAATAGCACTTTTGAAAATGCCTTTATTCACAGTCTATAAGAATGTTCAGACAGGCCGATAATCGAGCAATTAGCTAAGCTTTCTCGATTAAGGCGCTTATTGTGCCTGATTTACCATACAAAATTTCAATTCTTAATTGATCGATTGGTTGCTTCTGGTCCTCTTTTAAATTGTACCTAATTTGCGAAAAACCTTTACCTTAGTGTAGATAAATGCACCTAAAAATTTTTATTTGTACACATATATTAAAGAAGAAAAGAGGATATCCTTGAACTTCGGTACAAAATTATATTTTCGAAAAGGTAAATCATTTTTCTCCGAGTTGTTCCTTCTGACGTAATAAAAAGAAATATTCTCTGTCTGTCTAGCGAAATTAACTACAGTTATGTTACTTTGACCACCCTTTTGTATCATTTGTATGCATCACAAAAGAGGGAGGCTATACGACAAGTTACCCACACCAGAAAATGCGTTGAAATGTGAATAACTTTTTAAACTGATTTCCCGAAATACTATTTGACTACGTTCCAAATGTACCTAAAGTAGTGTGTACTTTCAAAGTAAATAAAGGTACGATTGAAGATTGTACCAACTTTTCATCACTGTTGGCAATGCAGCAACTGACTGTGTGTCGAGCAGCTGACTGTGTGTGAACACCAAAAAGCGGTAGCTCAATTAAAAGATTAATTGACTTCATTACATTTCAGTCTGAAATTACTCTTTTTATGCGGATTTGAATTTGTGTAGATTTTTCCAACCGTTTTTCACAGTGGCGATTAGGCTTTTTTTTTTAGAGTTGTGGCTACTTTTTTTCCAGAGTGAATGATATAGAAAGAGTACTTCCACCTGAATTGATATTGGTAGTATACTATCGGGAATATGCTATGCAGTTGTTTAAGGTTAGGACTACGACAAAGACGAGGACGAAAATGAATAGGAAGACAAGTTTGAATACGAAGACGAAGGTGAAGACGAATACTAAAGCTAAGACGAAGACGAATGCGCAGAATTTACCCTTAAGCGCATGAAAATATATCAACTCAAATAACAAAGCAAATTTAGTATTATATCATACATACAAGATTTTTATTATTTTTTAGAATACATGTAATTATTTTTGGGATTTTCTTCTCTGTACTTTTTATAACCCAGTACTATATATGTACGTACTTTTGCTGAAACATTAGAATTTTCTAAGCTTTGCCATTAAAGATATGAGGTATCTTCATACCAATTTGTCTGGTTTACGCTAGCTTTCTAGTCCAAATCTATTAATTTAAGCCAACGTAATTTTCGCTAATTCCAATTCTCGACTCTACTACATACATACATACATACATACATACATAGTACTTACCTAAGTAATCACATTCAATTACTCGAAAATAATAAAATTGAGAGCAAACATTTAGAAACATATCACAAGGACAATACTTAATCATAAATCAAGTATATAATAAAAGCAAAATAAATATAATGTTAATTAAAACTAAATACATATGTACGTATTTCAACTATTTTATAAGTAAACTAAATAAGTTTATTATTTATAAATTTAAAAAAAAACATTTCAATTACACAAAATCAACGAGAATAAAAATTATGTTTAATGAAGTTTCAAATCATATAATAAACATGTACTTTTAGCAACATGTGGATGAACTTGGTTCAAAAATATGTTATGTATGTACATGCACACATGCATATTTACTTATATACAAAGTTAAGCTTATACATTTATTTTGTATTTAAAGCAAAATCATAAACAAATTGAAACTGTGAGCAATTCGAAAAATTCAATGGTGTGGAAAAGTAAACAAAAAAGGAAAACATTAACCAAAATTCAGACACCCAAAAAAAAATTAAGCCGAAAGATATACTTAGAATCGAGAATTGATACCTAGAGCAATAAAAGACATTTGCAAAGCATTCAAGTAAACAGTCATTAAAATTTTAAGTCTTATATAAAAGTATTCTTAGAAGCCGAAATCACTGTAAACTTAATACTTAAATACATATTTATGTATAAATGCACGCATTTTAGCTGTTTGAATGATTAATTGTCAATTAATTAAATGAAATGATTTGATTTTGATTGAAAGCTAAATAGTCTAGTAGATTTTGACAGATCGTAAAGAAACGGTTAACGTTGAATGAGAGAAATCATATTTCATCGCGTTCACAAATGATGATTTGCTTGCCACGAAATATAATTTTTAAATGGACGACAAGAAATCTTTTCATAAAGCAAATATTTATAAGTCAAAACTAGAATGATATTCCAACATACATAGTATACATACTACATACCTATGTGTATGTATGTTTGTAAAATTATATATAAAAGTCTCAATGAAGACGAGGAACATTAAGAGCCTAAATTGAACAACGACTTTTTGAAATTGAGTAACCCAAATTGTATATGAAAAATTAATGCAAAATATAATTTATGAATAGAAGCTATATAGCTTATTAGATATTAAAATTAGACACATATATTTTAGAGCATAAAATTTTAATCAAAGTACTATGCGTACATGAGTATATATGTATACGTATATTCACATACACGAGCATAAATACATATGTAACTTAACGATCGCTTAACTATTTAAGCAAAAGATTTGTTTCTAAGTTCACAGACATTTACATTCATAGCCTCCTACAGTTTCCAAGATCTGCATATGTATGATATGTCTTCCCTACAAAGAGGTAATTAATTTAAAATTTGTAGGTAGTTTGGATGAGATTTTATTCAGGACTAAACCATAGTGCTGAGAGGGCCAGAGCCTCATCTACATATGTACATATTTATATTTATGTATTTGATAGGGACAAAATGGTATTCCAACATTGAACACAACCTTTTATATAGAATAATGGAAAATACCAGGGACCGAGAACAAAAGGTATAATCGAAACTAAATGTCGTTCTCGTAGTTTTGTTGCCAAAAATGCTTTGAAACCTAAACCGAAATGAGAACAAATACTTTGGGAAAGTTTTTAAAAAGAACGAAAGTGAAAACAAAACTGTCGAGAACGTTATCAACGTGAGCCATATAAGAACAAAACCTTGTGCAACGTTCCCAAAGAGAACAATATGCGAGCAATACTTTTGGAGGCATTTCTAAGAGAACAAAATGGGAACAAAAGTGTAAGAAACTTTCTCTCGAATAACCATTTGGGAACTAAAATCTCAGGAAATTTCTGACAGAGACCGTAACGGAAAAATTACAAACAAAATGTGAATGTAACATAAACATTCGCTATCACCTTGATTGTAAATTTTGGTTAAATGTGTACAGTTTTGATCGCTCAGTATTACATTGAAAAAATATGCCTTGCTCTAGAACATAGCTGGGCACACCAACACAGTCTCATTTTGTCATGGTATTAGTGCGTCGCGCTCAGTTATGGTTGCCGCATTTTTTATAAATGTACTAAAAGTGGTATTTTTCGTGCATGGGTATTTTGGCCTATTTTGCTTATACCTATAGTGTAATAATGAACCTTGGAATTTTTTAGTAACTAATACTATTAGTTTATACAACCTTTTGCATAAGAAAAATTTAGTACTTGTATAATTTAAAAAAACTTAAATTAGGAAAACTCATTTGTATAATACCTGGGCTCCGTTTTATTAGAAGCAATTCTTTTATATGCTGACCGGCCAGATGGTTACGGTGTTTAGGTCTTATTTTTTAACCGACTTCCAAAAAAGGAGGAGGTTATCAGTTCGTCGGAATCTTTTTTTTTTTTTTTTTTTATGTAT